AGCAGGAGTAGTGGTAGTGGTCGTAGTCGTAGTCGTAGCAGCAGCAGCAGCAGCAGCAGAAGTAGTAGTAACACAAGTGGGACTGGAAGTGGTGGTAGTGGTAGTAGTAGTAGTCGTCGTCGTCGTGGTGGTGGTGGTGGTGGTGGTCGTCGCCGTAGTAGTAGTAGTAGTAGTAGTAGTAGTAGACGTAGAAGTAGTAGTAGTAGTAGTAGTAGTAGTAGTAGTAATAGTAGTAGTAGTAGTAGTAGTAGTAGTAGTAGGAGGAGGAGGAGGAGGAGGACCAGCAGCAGCAGCAGCAGCAGCAGCAGCAGCAGCAGTAACCATAGTCGCAGTCGCAGTCGTAGCAGTTGTAGTAGTCGTAGTAGTCATAATCGTAGAGCTCGTAGTTTTCGTCGTAGAAGTGGTAGACGAGCAGCAGGAGGAGTAGTAGTGGTCGTCGTGTAGAGTCCAGTGGTAATGGTCCTATGGGTGATAGCAGTCGTAGTGGTTGTCGTCGTCGCAGTCGTCGTTGTCTTCGCAGTCGTGCTTGTTAGTGTCTTCGTCCTCGTCGTCGCTGCGCAGTTGCATAGGTCATTGTTGTTGTAAGTGTAGTAGAATTTGTAGCATCGCTTGTCACCGCATCCTCGACAATGATGTTACTAAGACGTTAAGAACGTGAATACTCCTGATCACAATCACCATCATGACCAATCATGTCTCCTATGACCGTCATTATCAGCATCACCGGTCAATGCTCGAGTAGCACTGCTGCATTTTGTGGGTCATCTAAAGTATCTACAGCACTGCTGGGAAGTCCAGCAAAAAGCCCTCACAAGCCCTAGAACAGGAAGACGACGACAAGGAAGTGACGTTCGTGAGCGAGGTCCTGCCGGATCTTTTACTTTCCACCGACCGGCTCTGGAATTGCACCATCATGATCAAGGACGTCTGCGGGCCCTACACTTTGGACCCTAAACCCATAAGCCCCAACCACCATGTTGATCAAACCCCTAGCGCCCCAAGCCCTCAATCTTAAACCCCTAAGCCCAGCCCTTAAACCCACCATCATGATCAAGGACAAGCGGGGACCCCCAACCCTAAACCCAAACCCCTAAACACCTAGCCCAAATCCTAAACCCTGAATTTAAATCCTTAAACCCTTAAGCCCTAAACCCTGACCCAAAACCCTCAACAAGGACGTCTGGGGCTTGCGATTGTTTCCGAAGATCAGCTCCGAGGAGTCCCCATCCTGTACACAGACGGTTCTGCTCGAGGTGGGGAGTTGCTGAAGTCTTAGGGCGTTTAGGGATGACGGAGGGTTTAGGGAGGGTTCTAGGGAGGGCTTATGGTTCACCATAAAAGTATGAGCTTGAGGTTGAAGGCACGGCGCAGCAGGGTTTAGGGTGAGCAGTTAGGATCAAGGGTTGAGGGGTCTTGACTGAAAGAAAGCTTAGTGTCAACAACTGCCCAGGCGAATGGAAAGAGCTACAGCTCCTCGTACCGGAAGACATATCCAGTCGTCCGGAAAGTGAGGATTCCTCCTAGCCGGTATGCCCGACTGGGGGGCTTTCGCATCTATTCCAAAGCCACCGGGGAGGGTGAGGAGATGTACTGGCTCCGGTGCGATTACGCCACAGGCCGGAATTCCCAAACATTTTTCAGGCTTTGAAGCGATCCCTTCAGCCGTGAATCCTGAACCAGAATACTATAGTACTCTCATTTAGTAGAACAAAACACTATAATGCTATGGTACCAGAATAATCTACTAATGCATTACTACAGTATTTTAAACTATATAATACTACAATACTATAATACCATAGTGCCGTAATACCACAGTACTAGATTACTACACCACTCTAATACTATATTTCTATATTGCAACACTACCATAGCTGTATATGATTATAACACTATAAGACTATCATACTATATTGCTACATTGCCATAATACTACATTACTATAATCCTGCAGTACTACCCTAAACCTTAAACCCTAAAGCCCTAAACCCTAAAACCCTAAACCCTAAACCCCTAAATCGTCATCCCTTAGGCCACCCACTGGTCCTGAAGCAGAATGCGGATGGCTCCATGGAGCAGCGCAGCTTCGAGCTGCCACCGGCCCAGTCTGTTTTTTTGAGGTGGTTTGGGGTTTAGGGTTTATGGTTCAGGGCTTTAGGTTTTTTTTTTTTGGTTTTAGGGTTTAGGGTTTAGGGTTTAGGGTTTAGGGTTTAGGGTTTAGGGTGTAGGGTTGGGTTTAAAGTTTTTCGGGCTTAGGTTTTAGGGTTTAGGGCGAGGCTGGCTTCTTTGAGTTTAGAGAATGCTAGTCGACTAGCGGAAGAGTGGTGCGAAACCTCGTAACTCTGTTTCCACCAACTGGCCATGCTAGCCTCAATGAGCACAACACGCACAAACACATGACCATCAGAAGGGTTGTTTGAACCGTCAACCATAGCCTATAAGGCAAAAAGACTTGTAAGTTGTCATGCTGAACCGCAGCATATCTTGCGACACACCCACAAAATATCAGGGTTGCAATACAAACCATAAGACTTCTCAGGCGAGGCACAACAGAAGATCGTTAGCATCATCGGCAGCACCAGACCCACATCTGTCACTTCCCCAGCCAGCCCGCAACTGCCAGCAACCAGCACTATGGGCCACCGCCACCAAACCAGCCCCGCCAGAAGCAGCAGCCACGGCTGCGGATGATGTGATGTCGATGATGACGGTGATGCTGTGACCCTCAATCCTAGCCTCATCCTCATCCTCCTCATCCTCATCCTCACCACATTCATCATTATCGAATTAACCGTGAAGTACTTTCCTGTGACCTTAGGTTCCAGATTCCTAAATGGACAACTCGCGACGAGTTGTGTATGAACTTCTTTGTGGTCCTATGTCTGTAAGTTCATGGACGGATGAACGGTGATAAACGGCCAGCACTCTTGTTGCTTTCGGTTAGGCCGAACACCTTATTTTTGTGTTAGATGTTATCATTGGATGATTTGGTGGAAAATGGTCAATGATGACATCGATGTGGCTTTGATTCATCCTCGGCGAGTACAGCCCTGTGCAGTATTCGTAGTGCACCCACATAGTTCGACAATCTTCTGGGAGAGGTGCATGCTGTCCGCCGTAAGCGGGGAGCACCTGATGGTACCGAACTAGTTTCATGCTGAAGCTTCTGAGGCTCCATACACTACCACTATGGAATTAGGTCCCAAACGACCATCCTCATTATGTTTTCAGGCCCTATTTCCATAATAGTAGTACTCATGAATCCCCCTGGGTTGCCTCTGAAGTTCCCCAACAACAAAATTCATATGTCATGCCTTTCTGTCCCCCCGACTAGGACTAGGCAGGCTTTCGAACATGTGAGTTGCCATGGCTATTTATCTAGAAGGCTGGAGACTTCAGGTTCGACTCTGTTTTGGGTTTAGGGTTTAGGGTTTAGGGTTTAGGGTTTTAGGGTTAAGGGTTTTAGGATTTAGGGTTTTGGGTTTAGGGTTGGGGGTTTAGGGTTTCGGGCAACTTAGTTCGGTCCCCGCGCCCGGATTCCAGGTTTAGCACCAGGCGGACGGACTTGGAAAAAGGGCAGAACCTGACGGTGCTTGCCGACGCGACCCTGGTGAGGCCTGCAGGTTTCGAGAAGGAGAGGGGAGGGAGTCCCAGAGAGCTGCACCCCTTTTTTTTTGTCGGAATCTTCCTGAGATTCTCTTGGATAGTCCAGAAATTTGTAAGGGTCATTAAATCAACACTTTGGATTCAATGACCCTTATAAAGCTTAATGATTCAAATGGCTTAAGAAGATTCGTGAAGGGCTCTCTGGGTCGAGGATTCTGCTTGTTGTTGAGGTGTAGGGTTTAGAAGGTAAGCGCTCTCTTGTGGTTGTTACTCCTGGGCTTTTGGGTGAGGCTTTCTTCAGTCACGAGGAATTTTTGTAAGTTGATTTTGCAGATCTGAGCCTTAAGGACCCTAAATGCCTTGGGCGCTCAAGACCCCTCACGCTCGCCCTTCACAGAGCCCTTGTCTCCTAAATTTAGGGCTTATAGGGTTAAGCTCTACAGGGAGTGCCCTAAACCCTAAACCCTGGGCTTTTCTGACCCAAGGCCCCAAGATGCCCCAGGCCCCAAGATGCCCCAAGCCCCAACTGGGTTCTTGTAATTCAGTTTAAGTTACTTTAGTAGTAAGGAATCCCTATTCTTTCCTATAGATCCCAATTCTGGTAACTTAAACTTTATAGACTCCTTAACAAGAACCTAAACCCTAAACCTTCAACCCTAAACCCTAAACCCTGAAAAGAACCCCAGCCAAGGTTCTACCGAACCGAGGCCCCCTTGGCCGTGTAAGCCCCAAGCGATCCTAAGCGCAAGGCCGCTGGCCGAGGGCTTCGTGACCGTCGCCCCCGAGGGATGATGCCTTCAGGCTGAGTTTGGGGCTTAGGATTTGGGGTTTGGGGTTTAGGGTTTGGGGTTTACAGTTCAGGGTTTGGGGTTTAGGGTTTAGGATTTCAGGTTTGGGGTTTGGGGTTGAGGGTTTCGGAGTGTATGGAGGGAGCTTAGGTGTTCAGGGTGTGCATAGAGTTGTGTGGAGCTTTAAGAGTGGTGTTCCGAGATTCATGGTTCGAGAGGTTTCAGAGCTACTTGCCCACCGTAGATTCACTCAAGACCTGAGCTCCGGCACACGGACGGTGAAGCGTGGTGTCACCGGGTTTCTTGTGCTTCTCCGAGGCCTGTGGGCTCAGGCTCATGGCATCCGCAGTTTGTTCAGTCCTTTCTTCCATATCTCGCATCTCATGGCTCTCAGTGGCGTGCCTGGTCGTGGCCCTGGGCCCGAGCTTCGGCGTGCGCCCTGAGATCTTCGCAGAGCTCGCTGCGAGTGCCGGCGTTTCTTGCTTGCATCTGTCCCTTATGCCGCACTCTGCGCCTCCGAAGCTTTGACCTCGCCGACCCAAACTCCCTCTGCCAAACTCTGCCAGACCAACAGCTCAGGACGCAAGACACCGCGTAGGCCAAGCGGACGGATCGACGTCGGCCTTGGCCCCTTCTGCCCGAGGCTCAGGTCTGCGGATCATCGCAGGATTTCGGCAAGCTTCTGCCCGACTGCGGTGCTTTGGGGATGTGTAGGATTCAGCGTGTGTCTTCAGTGAGTGTAGGGCTCGGAGTTAGGATCGTGGTGTGTGGGGACCTGCATGTGGACCGAGGAGATCGAAATCCCGAAGTCCGAGCATCTGCACCTTCCCGTCGAGGCTCCAGCATTCCCCAAACTCCCAACCCCTGAACCCCAAACCCTCAAGGCCCTAAACCTCAAAGCCCAAACCCTAAGCTCTAAACCGGAAATCCTGCAGTTCCTACAAGCCCTATAAAGCCCAAACCCCGAGGCAAACCCCGAGGCCTTCAAGTCCTAAACTGCAAAGCCCTGCACTTGCCATTTTTCCCAGAGGGGCCCAAAAACTCAGGCCCCTGCGGCTATTTGTCCACCTAGGTGGTCCACGAGACCCTATTTTAAAGGAGCCTTTATAGTACGGAAGCCAGCAACAAGGAACCCAGTTTGCTTTGTTGAGCCACGGCACGACTAGATTATGCTACTGTGCTATTTCTGCTGTTTGCTTGACGGCTCATAATGAACTTGGAGGGTTCACGGGTAGTTAAAAATGGAGGTATAAGTTCTTAAATATGGGTTACAACTCTGAGCACAAGAAGGAAAGCCACGAAAGAACCCCAGACCCACGATTCCTCAGGAGGAGCCCGCTGCGCCGTCCAAGCCGCTACTAGCCGGGGAGCCTGGTACCTTCCGCCATGTGCAGCACAGAGAGGGCTCACGGTTTAGGGTTCGGGAGGTTTAGAGAGGCTTGGGGAGGTTTCGAGAGGTTTACGGAGGTTTAGGGCTTAGGGTTTGGGGTATATGTTTGCGTTCTATACCCCAAATGACATTACGGATTCTCCTTAGCCTTTGATTTATGGCAGATTCCTTCCTTGCCTATGGGGGTGGGGCGCTGGGAGCTCAGGGTGCCATGTGGGCAGCTCTGTAAATTAGGGTCCCTTTTCGGGTCTATTGGGGACCTATAAAGGAATCCTTATTTAGAGAACTACCCATGTTGTTTCAAGGGAGTCTACCTGGGGCCGGAGAAGCAACGGGTTTTCGAGCCCAAAAGCACGAGTGAGAAGTTGCCAGCTCCCAAATGTTTTACAGTATTGCTGCAGTCTTGTTGTTGTGCCATTCTGGTCTTGTTATTGTCATTGTGGTAGTTAGTATTATTTAGCATCTGACTTTTCCGAATGAGAGTTACCTGAACAGAACCGGCATGTTGAAGCCCTCGTAGTTGCCAAAGCTGAGCTTTCGTCGACATGTACCGTGAAGTGTCGGAGCAGGAAGGAAGAACGGACCCACGATACCAGGCCCACCTGAGTGTCAGCTTGTTTCCCATAGCTTGGCTACTTGTTTCACTTTAGTCCATCTGTAAGCCGAGAGTTTGCTGCAGATCTGACCCGACATAGATTCTACGGGCCCAGGTCAGACCTACTTCTACAGCGTAGAAGCACAAGCTTCAGAGTCAAGAGAGTTTTCGACTCCGCCCCCTGGCACCTTGGAGGCCAGAGCCAGCAGCGTGGCTGAGACGGAGACCACGGACTCCCCGAACTGTGCCTGGCTCTGCAGAAGCAGCTCTCTCTTTTGAAGCTGTGCTCTGGTAGGAGGCTTTCGACGCTGAACCGAGGCACTGGAGACCTTGAGGCCCTCAGGAAGCTGCAGATCGGCGGAGAGGGCGATTTCTGCGACTGGCCCGGCATCCGCTGTGATGACCAGGGCTGCGTCGTGGAGATCACTCGCCACGATGCGCGGGGCCGCCGCTTGCATGCCGTGGCATCCCTGCGGCAGCTTGTGCGCCTCGACCTCTCCAACTCCATGGTCTCTGGGAACGTCGCGGACCTGAGCGGGCTTGAACAACTCCATCACCTCGATCTCTCCCACACACGGGTCAACGGAAACGTCGGGGCCCTGCACGACCTCCGACAACTCCATCACCTCGATCTCTCCCACACAGGGGTCGGCGGGTTCGTCGATGCCCTGCAATTCCTCCGACAGCTCCATCACCTCGATCTCTCCCGCACACGCGTCCGTGGGAACCTCGAGGTTTCCGACCTGCCGCTCAAGCATCTGGACCTCTCAAGGACGAAAGTCAGTGGCGGCTTGGAGAACTTGGAGAACCTCACCGGGCTGGAGGTCCTGAATCTGGCGAAATGCCACATCAGTGGCCATCTCGCGAACCTGTCACAGATCGGTGGCTTAAGGATGTTGGACGTCGCTGACACAAACATACACGGAAGCCTCGAGGACTTGAGACACTCCAAGAGCCTGCAGCACCTGGTCGTCCCTCAACAGCTCTCCGGCGACCTCGAGGCCTTGAAGGGTGCGACGGATCTCGAGATCCTGGACATGAAAAACAGCCAGGTCACGGGGAATCTGGATGCCTTGCAAGGAATGAGACGCCTCCGGAAGGTGGACCTGCGCGAGACCCACGTCTCCGGCAGCCTCAACTTCCTGGAGGGCAAGGGGAAGATGGAATACTTGGATTTGGAAAACACGCAGGTCGGGGGCGAGCTCGGCCCCTTGCGCGGCCACACTGCGCTCCGCATGGTGGACTTGCGACACAGCCAAATCGTTGGGGAACTCGCGCCCCTGAAGAACCTCAAAGAGCTCCAAACATTGTACCTCGCCGAAACCGAGGTCTCTGGAAGCCTGGAGCCCCTGGCAGAGCTGACTCGCTTGCAGCGGCTGGAGCTGCAAGAGACGAGGGTCTCGGGCCCCCTGGCCCCTTTACAACATCTTACCGAGCTTCGGGTGCTGACTCTCCACGGCACGACGGTGTCGGGAGACTTGGAGGCTGTCCGGCCTCTCAGCCAACTCCAGCACATGTACCTCAGCCAGACAGCTATCTCCGGCGACCTCGCTGCGGTTCGAGGGCTCACAGAGCTCCAAGGTCTGGGGGTGGGCGGGGTGAAGAACGTCAGCGGGCAGCTAGAAACCCTGGAGAATCTTACGAAGATGACGAATCTGGTGCTGTCTCAGACTCAAGTCTCCGGCAACATCAGCGCTGTAAGCACTTTGAGACTTGGTGGTGGAGCAGATGGTTTAGATAGTCCTACCATAATTGGAAAGGTTAACCCTTTTTTTGGCTACGGTACTCAGCCCCTAAGGAGAAGTCTGGCCGTCTTGGATCTCCAGGAGACGGGAGTCTGGGGCAACCTCGAGGTCTTTCTCTCGATGGACTATCTCCGGTTCCTCAAGCTCCGCCAGACTGCAGTCTCGGGCGCTGTGGCTGATCCTGGGTTCTTGTTAAGGAGCTTAGTTAAAGTCACCATAAATAGGAATCTGTAGTACAGAATATGGTTTCCTTATTATGGTAACTTAAGCTAGATCCCTGAACAAGAGCCCCATTGTGGTAACTTCAAGTAAGTTCCTTGCAAGAACCCAGGATCTTAGAGGAGGAGGATTTTTGCTTGCACACTTGGACCTGAGAGCCACCGCCGTCGGCGGCGAGCTGGCAGATATCGCAAAGCTCAGAAACCTCCACACGGCGCGTTTGTCCGGGACCCGGGTGACCGGCGGGCTTTCCGACTTGCAGAGCTGCTGCAAAGACTTGCGGGAGCTGGATCTCGCCGTGGGGCTCTCAGTGGCTTCGTAGCCTTGTCTTCATGCTCTGAGCCTTTTGGGGATCTCGTTCTCAGGACAGCCAAGTGGGTGGACTACGGCCTTTGGGAGAGGAGCAGCCGCCCCGGCTGCTGCCCGCACTTGAGCGCCTGAACGCCTGCAGCTCAGTCTCCCTCGCAGGTGCCCGACTCCTCTTTAGCCGTTCGGATTCCACACATGAGTTCTATTTTGTTGAGGTGAGCGGCTGCCCGCTGAATGGCACTGCCACAGAGCTCTTGGTTCCCCTACTGGGGACACCGCTGAAGAGCCTGGCGGCCGCCCGCAGCGGCCTACGCGGTGAGCTGCCAAACCAAACCGATGGCGGGGTCGTCAGCCGCTTGGAGAGGAGCCTGGAATACCTGGACCTGGCAGGAAATCAGCTGAGTGTTGGGATGCCTTGACATGTCTTACATTGCTTGGATTGTACGCAAAATCTAGCTATCGCAGTTGCAGGTGGTGCTGAACCACACAGAGGTGCACATGGAGGGCACGCGCCTGCAGAACCCGGAGGTGGTCCAAGAGGAGGCGCGGCGCCTCAAGGAGAAGCTGCCCTTGCAGGACTCCAGGCGCCCCTGCTCAGACGAGGGCTAAGGCCTACTCCCATGACCCTACGTATAGTATAGGGTTTAGGGCTGAGGGTGTAGAGTTTAAGTTCCTGGACTCATGGCCTCTTTGCACTGGACGCCCTAAACTCCAACCTATCTAAACTCGATAGTTGTTGTGAGCCCCGCCAGGCGAACCCTACACGCCGAGGGCTACGCCTGCGCTCACTCCGCGCTCCCCGCGCTGCGCGTCACCCCGGAGCTCTTCTTGCCCCGGTACCTTGGGGACCAAATGACAGGGTTTAGGGTTAGGGTTTAGGGTTTAGGGATACGCTTATACTATGATACCCTAAGCCCTTCATAGTATATGAACTATAACAACTCTTAGAAGAACCCGTAAAGACACCCTTACAAGGGACCCACTTTTAGGGTTCCGTTTGTGCTCAAGGTACATGTGCAAGTGCCGGCCCGGCCACTTCGGAAAGGGTGCCACCTGCCAGGCACGCGAAGCTGCGAAATATGGGGGCCTTAATGATAGAACAGAGTTTCGCGGGTATTTGTATACTATAAGAACCATATAAGGACTGTAAGGGGATATTCCTCTATTCATTGTTTCTTATCGGGACGTGTATGTGGGAGAGGCTTGCCCTGCCGACACCTTCGCAGATGACGAGGACCAGGCGCAGTGTGAGAAGTGCCCGGCCAACAGCACCTCGGCCAATGGCTCTGCGGCTCTGAATGCCTGCGATTGCAGCTATGGCAAGCCTCGGGGCGAGAAGGGCAACCGGAGTTGCCAATGTGAGGCGCCTGGGCTCTTGTTAAGGGACTCAAATTGAAGCTACCACGATAGGGATCTACAGTAAATAATCGGGCTTCCTGACTAACTTCCGTAACCAGAACACAGGCTCACACGGCGCAGCTTGGTGGCCTCTGTGCGCCATGCAGCAAACTCCACATCGACTGTCCTGAGCCCGGCAGCATCGCAGCACATGCTCCGGTGGAACAAGGCTATGCCCGCATCTCCGGCTCCCTTCAGGTGGGATGCGAGTTAGGATCCAGGATCCTAACCCTAAACCCTAAACCCCAAACCCCAAAACTCTAAATCCTTATGAGTCCTACATAACCCAAGCCATGTCGGTGCGCGCAGGTCTTCCGCTGCTTAGAGGCAGAGCGTTGCACGGATTCGGGCTGCGCAGCTGGATCCTTGTCTTCGGCTCTTGGTTCAGGGTTTAGGATGCTCCTAACATCTCCTAACATCTTATCTTGCATGTCGAGACTCAATTTGCGGATCATTACGAATGATCAGGTTCCTGGAGAGTTGTGGCAGCCACGTGTAGGCTGAAGGTGTCGGGAGCGTGTTTGTCATGTACTCTCGTGACATGACCCCGACTGCCTACCTGTTGCACGCCTTCGGAAAGTCATGTCTCAAGGATACTCTGGCCCCCTGTGTGTGGAGTGCGCTCCTAACTACCACTCCTTCAACTTCGGCAAGCAGTGCGACGAATGCCAGAGCCTGCGCCAGCACCTCGAGGATCAAATAGGGCACCGCAACTACTGGTACTAGAGACTAACTAACGGGAGGTTTTAACTTGGCGTTTATGAGTTCTTGCTTGAGGATAGTAAACTTATTTGCAAGTCCTTTTTATTTTATAAAAGGGCATTCCTTCCGATTCTCGCGAGGCAGTCGGTGCTCTTGGTCTTCGTGGTCTCCCTGGGAACTCTGGCGCTGATGGGCGCCTTCGTCGCCGCAGGCTGCCTCCTGAGGCGCCTGGTAGCCAGGCTTCAGAAAGCCTTCAGGCATTTGTAAAAGCATACAGAGCTCCAACAGCCCTCTAAAGCCCTTACGCAGACTAAACGTCCCCAAACCTCAACAGGCCAAAAAAACAAGAGCCAGGAGCTACATGCCAAAGCCTGGTCTGGGAGTGGAGTGCGCGGCGCAGCTCCTGGTGTCTCAAGGGGCGGTGTTGCTGCAGCTGGCGCAGCTCTGGGTTCTGCTGGCGCGCCTCGGCCATCCGGGTCAATGTCTTTCTCGCTCTTACTCTCACGCTCGCGCTCATACATCCGTACGTACGTACATACTGTCTGTATCAAAGGTCTTATGCAAGTTGCAGTGTGGGGGCTCAGCTCTGGGTTCACTGTTGCCATCCTCTTGCACTGAGCTTGTTACCTAGGCGCCTGACGAGCGCCAGGGAGGCACAAGAAGCGCCTGGGTTGCACTTGAAGCCCGGAGCTGCAGCTCCAAACGAGGGTTGATTCAGGCAACGTTTGGTGCTTAAGGATCTTGGGGCTAAGGGTTTGTTGCGAACTCCGTTGCGATTTTTGGGTGTGGCGCCGTTGGAGCTGAGGTCTTGCAGGAAGTGGTCGCGTACAATGTCACAGATGACGTCCCCGCCCCTGAGGAGTTGAACACGGATCGCGGCTCGGCCTGGCAAGCCGAACCTTTTTTTGCAGGGCATTGCAACGCCGCTGCGAAGATGTGAGCCGAGGGGACCCGCTGTTGTCCTACATCGAAATCCTACAGTTCACCGGCTCGGAGTTGCAAAGCTTCCTGGACTTCCAGTGCCGCTACGACGGTGCGACGGTCCGCGGCATCTTCGCCCTTGCCACGCCCCTCCTTCCCTTGCTGGTCCTGGTTGCATGCGCCTGTGTTCTTGTTAGGGAACTTACTCTTTAAGGTACCATATCTAGGAACCGGTAGTAAATAAGCGGGTTTCTGTCTTGTGGCAACTTGAATTACACGCCTCAGCAAAAGCCCAGGCGCCTGCCTAGAGCTTCGGAACCTTGGCATGGGATCCTTGTCTGCACCAGAGACATGCTCCAAAAGAACCGGCAACGGTGCCAGCCGCTTTTTCCCCCCAACCCAATACCATGGAGGTCTGGTTGAGGAAAGTCTCCCCAAACAGTCCTTGTAAAACTACACAACATCATGGCCCGATGATCTCTCTACCACAAGCTCTATCTCAAAAAGGTATTCGGGGCTTTTTTAATTCATACTTTCGAGGCATCCAGCTGGCCCTCCGAGCCTTGACGGTCCTCTTCGTGGGAGGCGCCTCCGGCGCGGTGAAGCTGCTGGGCTGCCAGCGCGCCGACGGCGAAGGCGGGGTGTTTAGGATTTAGTCCTAGTTGGGGTACTGTTGCGAGGGGTTTCAGAGAGGGGGTTAGGGTTGAGGGTCTCTAAAGTGTTAGGCTTTAGTGTGAGCTTTTCGTGCCCTAACCCTCAATCACTATATAAATCCTAAACCCTAAACCGCTAAAGCCTGCGAGGTACCTGGATACCGGACGACCTGGCCTTCCGGCCGCTTTTCCCGTGGCTCCGGTGCTCGAAGGAGACCGCCGCAGCCGCCTGGGTGGGGGTGCCCAGTGCTCTCTTCGTTGGGTTTAGGGATCAGGGTTCTTTGGGTTTAGGGTTTGGGGGGTTTACTTTTGAAATGTTAGTTTTTGGGTTTGGGGTTTAGGGGACGGGCCCCTATTCAACGTTTGTTTGGGAAGCCCTTGACGCGAACTTCGAACTCCTGTGTGTGTGTACTACAAGCAATATCTCGGCTTCCTTGTCAGAGGTGGACCGAATCGGCTGGAGCACTGCCGCTGTCTATGGCGGTGCGGTGCCCTGCTTCCTCGCCTTCCTCTTCTTCAGGCAGCACCGCACCATGCGGCCGCTCAGATCTTTTTAGGGTTTAGGCGTGCCTCCTAACAGCTACACACACAGACTTCTCAGTGTGCAGTGAACTTGACAAAGGCAGTGCAAGACCTTCTTTGTCGTCAGTGCCAACCAGGAGAGCGGCAGCGTCCAGCTGGAGCTAAGAGCATGTGCAAAGTCGGAGCACTTCGAGGACCAAGAACAGAAGGGCTCATGTGCATACTTGTTGCATCTTTTTCTGGTGTAGGGTTAAGAAACAAGTTGCTTGCAGAGGAACTTCCTGTCTGTTCTTCCCGTCGCTTGTTTACAGTTTGACATGCCGATGAAGCGAGCTGAAATGTCTGCTCTGCATGCAGCACACTCTAAACCCTAAGCCCTACCCCTCACTACGTGGATCACTACGGCACAGGCCCGCATCGCTTCAATCTGATTGTGCTCTGTCTGCAAAGCACTCTCACAGCAGTCATGTGAGCATGTGAGCAAACCTATGCCTCATCACCGAACCATGAACCCCCAAACCCGTAAACCCCCCGCACCCTAAACCCCTAAGTCCTTAAGCCCCCTAAATCCCTCAACACCTACAATCCCCTAAATCCCTCAAGCAGCCTTCAGCCCTAAACCCCTAAACCCCTAAACCCTAAAAACCCTAAACCCTCAACCCTAAGCCCTAAGCCCTGCCCTGCCCCCTGCCTGCCCTGCCCTGCCCTGCCCTGCCCTGCCCTGCCCTGCCCTGCCCTGCCGCCTTTGCCCTGCCCTGCCCTACCTGCCCTGCCCCCCTTTTTGAGCCCTGCCCTGCCCTACCTGCCCTTCCTCGTTTTGAGCCCTGCCCGCCCACTTCCCCTGCCCCCTCCCGTGCTGCCCCTGTGCCCTGCCCTCCACTCCGGTGGTTTGACCGCGGCAGACAGCGTTGGAGGATGCACTCACACTTGCACTGTCGCTAGATACTTCCGCTTATGCGCAATCTTGCGGCACACCCTCAACCCTAAACCCCGTAAGCCCGTAAATCCTAAACTCCCAAACTCCTAAACCCTAAAACCCCTAAGCCCTAAACATTAAACCCGTATCCCTAAACCCCTAAGCAGGAGGAGCTCCTGGCAAGTCGCCTACTGGGGGCTGCAGCGGCCCACCTAGCGGTGCAGAGGCCAGGAGAAGTTTTGGTGGAGCTCCACCAAAACGTGGTGACGCTCGGCAGTTTAGGTTTCACAATTAAAGCTTAAACTTTACGGTTCTCGGGTTTAGGGTTTAGGGTTTTAGGGTTTTGGGAGAGACCTTGCCAAGCACTTGCTTCGGCAGCGAAGTCCGTTGTGAAGCCCAGGATTGTGACAGGGCAAAGTGGCATCAGTCAGGAAGAGAAGAGCAGCGGCTTTTCTTCCATCTCGGTGGCTTGATGGCAATTCCTTGCAGTGTTATTGTAGCTGGCTCTCTTCTGATGCAGGGACGCCTGCCAGCACTGCATTGCAACTGTTCGCTCTAGCAGGCCGAGAGCTTCATTGAGAGCGACATGAAAGACACCGTGCTGGCACGGAGCTACATGATGCAGATGCTTACGGAGCGCAGCATCTTAGAGGAGATCCAATCAGACAGCTTCCTGGTAGCAGCTTTTGTCCGCTTTTGAGTCATGCCAGGGGCATAGCATGGCTGTCGAGCTGTCATGCATCGAAGGAATGCTGATCGGGGCGAAGCAACTTCTTTGCAAGTACGCCGCTCCCTTGCATTGAGCCGCTTTGGCATTACGCCGCCCCAAGGAAACCCCAAATCCGAAGGTCTCCAAACCATTTCAGGCCATGAAGCCCGAAAGCCTTGAAGACCTAAGCCTTGAGCCCTTAACACTTTAAACCAGCTAGACCATGTACAGCCGGAGCTTTCAAACCTACAGTAATAAACTAGAGCTCACGTTTTTGGTAGGGTCCCGAGACAAACCCCAGGATGAAATTTCAAAGACTCAAGCTCTGACAGGTTGAGGCAAACCTTATACGGACCTTTTTAGGAACCCTTACAAGAACCCTTGAAGGAACTTAAGGAACTGAACACCTGTAGCTCTTGAGCTTTGAGGCCTATTGCGGCGGAGTGTGGATGGAAGTCGCTCTGAAACTGAGCTCCGCGTGCCTCGTTTCCGTGGCTCACCTGAAACCACACAAAACAGAAGGGTTTGTGGTGTAGAGCGTAGGACCTAGGACTTAAGGTTTAGGGTGTAAGGTTGAGCCCTCAACCGTAAACCCTAAAGCGTGCACCGTGGAGTGAGGTCGTCTCTTCGAGGGATGGCCTGTGGCTGTCCGTGGCAATCACCTTCGGCATCTGGGCTCTTCTTGAGGAACTTAGTTTAAGTTGCCATAATGGGGATCTGTAGGAAATAATATGATTTCCTTATAATGTTAACAAAGTTTATGTTCGCTCATAAGCACCCAGGCATGGCTGTGATCATCGGCAGCGTGCGGCCCTTTGCGCAGCCCCAGGCGGGAAGGGAAGGTTGAGCTTCCAGGGGCATAGAAATGGATGTATGCCTAAACCTCCTTACACCTTGTAGCATCCCTCGTAGTAACCCGTATACTCACCCTCACAGCAGCCTGACAGCAGCGCTGCAGGTGAACGCTCTGCAGAGCTTCAGCTTCTGTTGTGCCTCGGCCGACTCTTCGGGCGGGACCGAAGCTTGAATGGAGAGGGTGTAGGGCTTTGGGTTTAGGGTTTTGAGGGCGTCGGACTTGGGGTTTACGGTTTAGAAGGTTGAGGGTCCATGAGGGCTCGAGAACACCGAAAGCGGATAGCTTTTGCCCCAGTACCTACAAAGGTACGTCTTTTTGCCCTACAATAGGGCTTCATCCGCGGTCCCCCAATTGGCACCGCCACGAAAGAGCGCAGAGAAGCAAAGTTAGGAGTAGAGTGCGGCTCGCCCTAGCTCACTGCAAGCGCCCAGCTCGGAAAGACATCTTTCTGCTACAGTCACACCACTCAATGGGTGGCCCGAGATGGAAAGGAAGCAACAATTACCAAGGACACGGCAGCTACAAGGATGGCTCTACAAAGTGGGGTTTGTGGCGTGGTGCTTGGCCATCGCCCAAGGAGAAGCCCGTGTTCCCAGCGTACGATCACCGACGTGTGCCAGAGTCTGCCAGAGGACTGGACGGACCAGCCACAGGAGCCGCCAAGCTTCGGACAGCGACTACAACACAGCCTCAACACCACGCGACGAGCAGAGCAACGAGTCACTTCGCTGCAGAACTCTACCAAAGAGCGCAAGAGACAGTGGGCCACCTACCAGGAGGAGATGAAGGCAGCCTGGATCAAGGAGAAGAATCGCTGCCAACGAGAGCTCGAACGGCTCAATGGGGAGCTGACAAAAGCATTTGTGCTACAGGAGGGAGCCCGCAAGGACCTACTAAGTGTGGCAAACCAAGAGGAACAGCAACAACCGGAGCCAGCCGAGGACGATGCTGCCTGGAGCGAGATGTTGGGCAGCTGGCAGACGAGCGATTCGGATTCAGCAGCCCTACTGCAGCGAGCGATGACAGCCACTGGAGGAGCCACTGCGGCGAGACCTGCTATGGCCATCAATCCGGCCAGTGCAGAAGCTCTCAGAGGCTATGCTGCGGGGGTCCTCCCGCCTGGCACGGGACCGCCACCCGGTTTTGCTATGTATATGGACCAGCTTGCAAGGCAAGGACTTGGACAGCGAGCGGGACCAAGTGGACACGGCGAGGCACCAGCAGATGCGGCTCGGCCCCCCCTCACAGGTTGCAGAACACACGGACCCCGGTGCCACCCATGTCGGTGCAGGAATTCCGACAGAGATACCGGTTCCGCCTTACGTATGCTCTCCCAGCCATCCGGGAGCCTGTTCCTGTCGGACACTCGCCCGTGCCAAAGCCAAAGCAGCAGCGAGTTCCGGTCAAGACCAGGACCCCGCCGGCGGCCCCGCACAACAGTGGGCCTACAATGGAAGAGAAGCCAAGAGGGCAGCTGCAACGGCAGCCATGCATCCTTTCCACCTTGGTGCCGCGCGGATGCCGACTGCCCCTGTCACGTCCGCGTTTCCGCCAGACGGTACTGCTACGGCGGAGATGCCGAATCCGACAGGGCCGGGACATGGTGGTCACGAAGAGGGATCAGTGCCTGTTCACATCCTGGAAGGCGACAGCGACGACCTAGACGAGGCGGATGTGTTCATGCAGGAGACAGGACCTGGCAGCGAGGAATAGAACAGAATGGTGTTCATATGACTGAGCCAGCTTCTAGGAATATGCCTTTCAGGCAATTGCGGCTTTCGGGTGAGAGATACCGCTTCGGGAGGCCACCTCAGTGTGAACTGTGTCTGGGGTACACAGTTCTACTTGAGAAGTTCCACCCTGAGCAAGGTTTCCTCACCCCGACAGCTGCAAGTGCAATGATTTGGCATATTCGGTTTCACGTAGGCTGTCAGAGCATCGGTGTGTGGCTTTCGTTCCTCCATGCCCCAATCGCCCTACTTGGGCCCGGTGCCTTCCCAGGTGCCTGGATTTTGTCTTCCTCGATCAACAGCTTCATTGGGTTTGAAGCTGCCAATCCCCGCCAGCCAGACACGGTTGTTGACGCGACTACACGGTGTTGTGTCGTTCTCCATCCTACATGCATGATTGACGTGAGCCAAAGCGCCTTGATTTTTGGCTGCTCCTCACCTTGTCATGGCATAGGTTGGAATTTTGCAGTAGTAGGCCAGGCGCCAGCTATAGAGGCTGCCAGGCTTCATGGCCGCCCACAGGCCGCACCCCTGTTCTCTGATAGGTTGGCTGGGTTCAGGGTTTTTATTGCTAACTGGGCTCATCTCTTCTGTGGAGCGATGTTCATTGCTTTGTGGAGAATGCTCTGGGTTCACGTCCCAGGTCGTCGATCTCCTTTAGGACAATGCCTGTCCTGTGGTAGTATTGGAGTGCCAATCGCATTTTTGCAGTCACTAGGTCGTTGCGGCTCTCCGGCTACTCCCATCTTGCATTGGCATGTTCGGCGTTATGCAATTCGGAAAAAGCAAGGTCCCATACGATGTTCACTCGGACCGCTTGCCAGATTTTGTCGCGGTATGCTGTTGTGCCTTGGTCTTGCCAACCTGCCATGCACAGTTTGGGCGGCACCAGAAGGAGTCCGGGAGCTAGCCCAAGTCCTTAGTGCCATACAAAACAGTGCTTCTAATCAGGGATTCATCGAGCCTCCCGAGGATTATGAGGCCAGTCCACCCGAGGGTCCTCAGGAGCCGCTGATGTGGCCCGCGCCTTTTCGCATTGAGCCCCGCCCGACCGTTGTGCTCAATACTCAGTTGGTTGTGGAGTTAGTGCCTGGAGTACAAGTCGAGTCTAGTAATGCTGCAGAATGGTTAGGCGTTGTTGTGTTTGCTCCACACTACCAGCCTCGTGCACTTGCTGTCCACATGATGCACATCCATGACTCGGTTGATCTAATAGATGTTTTGTGTGAGCAGTGCGCCGATATGTTTGATCCAGGCCTGGATTGCTTCGTGCCTCTCACGCCGCAGCGATTTGGGGACAGCTACGCCACAGTTCTGAAATTTGCAAGCGCAGCTGGAGACTCCACTCCCCAGGCACAGGCTGCAATTGTTTTTGATCTCACAAGAGTTGGAGGTCCGTACTTTGCAGCCATGCATCCAGTGCACACCACCACTGAGGGACTGATTCAGGTTGCAATGCCACTAACCTCGTATGGAAGGGACCCGTTCGAGGTCTATATCGGGGATTCCGATCAGCCCTGTGCTGCCTTCCAAGACCTTCTGTTACACAATGGAGATGTTGTGACGATTATCTCCGCCGGTCTTATGGGGCCAAGGCCTGATACTATCGAGGCTTTATTTAGGTTGCCAACTGCTTGGGGAGCTGTGAATCACACCCCGCAGGAGTTTCATACTCCATCTGTTAGTGTTGTTACTGCGGAGCGACGACTTCTGTTGAGCTTCTTCCACCATTCTCGTCAGACAGTTGAAGAGGCCATCAGGGAAAGGCTTCACATACCGGCTGATTCCCTTACTTGTTGCTGTGCCGTTGGTTTTGAGGACTATGCCGAAGAAGGCACCCACTGCGACAGGGTAGTAGCGGCTGTCAATTTACCAGCCCAGCAAGCACAGCCCTGTGTGCTACCTCGCCGCCGTGATGCCTTCACTTTCTGCGATCTAAGGCCACTTGGGAGGTTGCCTGAATGCCATCACTCGCATTCCTATGTTGTGCATTTGCCAACTCTGCTACACTTGTTTGGGGTTAGAGTACCCTTCGGGCAACGTGTGTGTGTTGATGGGGCACCCATAGCCGGCTCCGATGCGTTCGTTGGAGCCAATGCCACCCTTGTTTTCCGTCTTGTGGCAACCATGCCCTCTCCAGACCTTACTCCCCACAGCGGACACGATGAGGGATCTGAAGGCCTGTCTGCACAGGATGAAACAGGCACAGGCGAAAACCCCACCGGCGATGGGGCCACCGAGCCAGCCCCCAGCTCTGCAAGCGCGGTGCCCCATACTGTTCACGTCGAGGGTGTTATCGATACCAGAGCAGGCAGTGCAGGTCCTTCTGACCACTATTCTGCCCTTGCTACTTCCAGAGTTGGTGCCAAGTCAGGACGATCTTTGCTTGCTGCCTGTTTTATGCAACAGCTCTGTCGTACCACTGCAGTCGCTGGCGAGAGCGACGCACAGCCGATGCCTATTGGAGCCCATACCCCTTTTGCTGCATCATCGGGTGCGACTGACGCACGTGTACAGGTGCGGCCGGCAGTGTTGCCACCACGAGACCCGGTTTCATTTGTCACTATGCAAGCTGAGGAGGGAGATGCCAGTCAAGAATCCCTTCTTGGGATCGTACTTTTTGCGCCACATTACCAGACGGAGTACATGTCAATACATGTGCATCAATCTGAAGGGCCATGGTCTGTTTTCGAGCGGGTGCGACATCTACCAACGGCCATTCCGACCCACCTCCTGACATGTTTGGCCTTCGTCGATCCCTTGCCTTTTGATGGAGTTGCTGCCTTTGTGGCATACTCTGAGGCCATTCATGCATCAGGTTACGTCGCGGTCATTCTAGATCTTGCAGGATGTGGCGGCAACCTCTTCGCGACCACGCTGCCACGTAGCTTTTCGTGCGCGCAATTCTTTGCCTTTGTTCGGCCTTTAATCGGTGCGGCACAGGCTCCAG